AAAAAAATAGCCTGGTGTGTGGCAGATGTCTGTAGCCCCAGCTACTTGGGAAGCTAAGGCAAGAGAGTCACTTGAGCCCAAGAATCTGAGGTTGCTATGAGCAATGACACCACAGTACTCTACTGAGGGCGACAACGTGAGACGCTATCTCAAAAAAAAAAAAAAAAAAAAGAAAAGAAAGAAAGAAAAAGAAGAAGAAGAAGAAGTGGGGAGGAGAAGGAAGGAGGAAGGAGAAGGAGAGAAGAAGAGGAGAGGATCAGGAGGAGGATGTTGGTGAGGACATGGAGAATTATAACCCTTGTACACTGTTGGTGGGAATGTAAAATGATACAGCCACTGTAGTGGTTCCTAAAAATTTTTTTTAATTTAAAATTCTTTAGAATAGAATTACCATATAATCCAGCAAATCCACTTTTGGCTATATATTCAGAGGAACTGAAAGCAGGGTCTCACACATTTGTGCACCCACATTCATAGCATCATTCACAATAGCCAGGAGATGGAAGCAGCTCAAATGTCCATTGATGGATGAATGGATAAACAAAAATATAGTATATTCATACAACGGAATATTGATCAGTCTGAAAAAGGAAAGAAGTTCTAACACATGCTACAACATGGACAAATTTTGAGGACATTCCAAGTAAAATGAAATAGTCACTAAAAGACAAATACTGTATAATTCCACTTATATGAGGTACCCAAAATAGTCAAATTCATAGAGAGAGAAAGTAGAAGAGTGGTTGCCAGGGAATAGGGAATGAAAGAATGGGAATTTGTTTAATGGAAATAGAATGTTTGCTTTGCAAGATGAAAAGCAAATTTGTTGCACAATAATGTGAATGTACTTAACAATCTTGAACTGTACATTTAAAAATGGCTAAGATGATAAATTTTAAGTGTATTTCACTACGAACTTTGAAAGGTCACACACACACATAGGTACAGACATATAACTATGTATGGGTTATAAACATGCATGGGTTAGTATGCATGTGTATACAAAGTCTGACAACAAAGTTCTCAAATTTGCCACCATGCACTAACATTGGCAGCACAGTACAAACAACTAAGGTTTTGTAACCTTGGTATATCAGTGCTCACAGTTGTGTTTGTGTTGACATGTAGCAGTGTCTTGCTGAGTAGTGTTCATTATTGTTGTTGCATGTTTTTGTGTGCTGTCATGAGAATGTCAGAGCTTGAATTATAATAATGAACAAACATCCATGAATTTCTTGTTAAACTTGGCAAGTGTACTCAGGAACATGTTAGTCCAAGTTTATGGGGATACTGCCATGAAGAAAACAGCAATGTACACATGGATTAAACATTTTTCTGAGGGGAAAGAAAGTATCACTGATGAATGGAGGTCAGGATGGCCAGTAAGGAGCAGAAGTTAAAATAACTCATAAAAATGTGTTGAATTGTATATCAGAATTGTTGGATGACTATGAGAAGCACAGCAGACCAAGTAAACATTGATAAAGAAACAGGAAAATCTTAAGTGAAAGTCTTGGCCAGTAACTCACAGCTCTTGCATCATGACAATGCACCAGCTCACATGGCACTGTCCGTGAGGGAGTTTTTAGCAGGTAAACAAATAACTATTGGAACATTCTCCCTCCTCACCTGATCTGCCCCCCAATGACTTCTTTCTTTGCCCAAAGATAAAGGAAATACTGAATATGATGACATTCAGGACATCATGGGTAATACCGTGACAGCTGATGGCCATTCTAGAAAAAGAATTTTGAAATTGTTCTGAAGGGTGGACTAGGCATTGGCATTGGTGCATAGCTTCCCAAGGGCAGTAACTTGAAGGTGACTGTAGTGATACTTAGCAATGATGTATGTAGCACTTTTTGCAGGATGAGTTTGCAGCCTTAATTGTCAGTAGCTCTGTCCACTGAAAGGGCTGAAGTGCAGTGATACCCCAGGAACAATGACCATGCCTCAGATCTTGATTTTAAAACACCCTCTTGGAGCAATGGTTGATTTCAGGTCTGAGGCAGGGAAAATATAAGCCCAGAAATTGTGTGGTGCCAGAAATTAAGAAAATATTCAAACAGATGAAGTTCGTTAAAAGAACACAGAACCTAACCTCAATTAACTCCTAATGACCAAAGATGGAACAATTTGAGAAATAAAATTAAAATAGTATTCAATTATAACCCAGAGTAAAGTTAATATTCATGAGCTCATATGGATATAAACAAGTAATAAATAAATGAATAACAAGAATTCTCTATAATAGAATTATAAGTGATGAATGTGGAAGTAAGAAGAGAAATAGAAAAATCATTAGTCAAAAAACACAGTAAAAATTATTTCAGACAAGAGTCACTGATGGGGGGGCGGTGCCTGTGGCTCAAATGAGTAGGGTACCGGCCCCATATACTGGAGGTGGTGGGTTCAAACCCGGCCTCAGCCAAAAACTGCAAAAACAAAAAAAGGAGTCACTGATGGGTGCTAATGTTAGTAGGCACAAATCTGAGGAGAAACAATGTATAAAGGCTCAACCTATCTCCTCCAATGTATGTGTTTATTTATTTATTTGAGACAGAGTCCCAGAATGTTGCCCTTGGTAGAGTGCTGTGGTGTCACAGCTCACAGCAACCTTCAACTCTTGGGCTTAAGTGATTCTCTTACCTCAGCCTCCAAGGAGCTGGGACTACAGGCGCCTGCCACAACATCTGGCTATTTTTTGTTGCTGTTGTCATTAGCTGGCCCGGGCTGGGTTTGAACCCGCCAACTTCGGTGTATGTGACTGGCACTATAACCACTGTGCTACAGGTGCCAAGCCCCCAATGTATTTATTAACTGATAAAGAAAAGATAGTAACTTTATAGTGGAGAAACCTGACGGAGCCATCTTTACCCAAGTGGTAGGGTCAACACCACCAATAAGATATGTGGACACTACAAACCCTGCACCATGATGCACTCAGGAGGACACAACTTCATTTTCATCATATTCCTGCCAAACTGAGGAACATCTGACAGCATAACTGATCAATATTCCTGAAAGTGGAAGGGGTCATGGGAGGAAAGAAGAGACCAAGGAACCTTTGCTGACTGGAGGACACTAGGAGAATTAGCACCCAAATGCCTGGTGAGATCCTGGGTTGGGTCTTGAAACAGAAGAAAAGATGTCAGGGGAAGCCCTGGTGAGATTAGAATAAAGTCCATAGTTCACTTAATAAAAGTAAGTCAATGTTCATTTTTGGTTTTGGTCACTGCACTATGATTATATAAAGTGTTACCATTGGGAGAAGCTGACTAAGGGACGATAAGTACTATTTTTGCGACTTTTCTCTAAATATAAAATTAATCAAATCTAAAATTTATTAAATCTTTTATGAAAAAGGTAAATCAAGTCATACCACGCCTCAAAACCTCCACTGGCTCCCTATTTCCCCCAGTCCTCACAGTAGCTTACAAGGCTCTCCTGGTCTAGACAGACTGACCCCCCTGGTAGTTTCCTACCATGCTCCCCTCACTCCTCCCAGCTATGCCAGCTTCACTGCTAATCCTCAACCTATGGACCATTTTTTTTTTTTTTTTTTTTTTGCTTCAGGGCTTCTATGGTTTGAATGTATGTTTCCCTCCGAAATTCAATGTTAGAATTTAATCCCCAAAGTAATGGGGGATTCAAATGTCAGAATTTAATCTCCAAGAGATAGGGCCCTTAGAAGGCCATAAGGGATGGGATTAGCACCCCTATACAAGGGCTGGAGGGAGAGAGTTCATCCCTTTTCCCCCGCCATGTGAGGACACAGCAAGAAGGCACCATCTTAGAAGCAGAGAGCGAGCCCTCACCAGATGTCTATTCTGCGGCAGCCTCCACAACTACAAAAAATAAATTTCCAGTATTTATAAATTGCCCAGTCTCAGGTATTCTGTGAGAGCAGCACAAATCAAGACAAGGCCTTTGCACTTGATTGTGCCTTCAGCTTGGAAGCTCTTCCCCCCAAATACCTGCACAGTCACTTCAGACCTCTGATCAAACAATACTTTGCCCCACCATCATACTCATTCTGCCTGTCCTGCTGTTTCTTCCTGTCCATTGTACTTCTCACCACCTAACACACTATATATGACTTACGTGTTCATTCTCTGTGTCCCCCACTAGAATGTGTCTCCAAGAGGGCAAGAGCTGTGTTGTCTAATGCCCAGAACACAGTGAGGACTCAATAAACATTTACTTAAGGAATGAATTCATAATTGTGCCAATTGTTAGTAACCATTCATTTAAAATGTCTCCTGTAGTAAAATGAATATTTATAAAAATAAAGTTTTGACTTTTATTTTAGGAATAAAGTATTTATCCTACACACATCCACTTACAAGAAGGGCATACCAAGATATTACAACAATTACGATCTCTGCATTCTGGGATTATGGCAGGTTTTTATTTCTTTGCAGTTGACACAATAACATATTTTTGTGTAATCTTTTTTAAAAATGCAGAATATTGACATTGGAGAATGTTCTTCATATATTTTAAATGAGAAAAGACAGTAAAGGGCAGCGCTGTGGCTCAGTGAGTCGGGCACTGGCCCCATATACCCAGGGTGGCGGGTTCAAACCCAGCCCCAGCCAAACTGCAACAAAAAAATAGCCAGGCGT